GTCAACCCAGGTCCTGGGTGCAAAACTGACTCTGCACTGCTCCCAGACACCAGGTCCGCTCACCCTCACCCTCACCCTCACCCTGTGTTAGCTGCCTCTGGACTCAGGAGTGAGACAACTATGTGCTGCTTGTTGCAGGCTGCTGAGTTTGGGGTTCATTTGTTACACAACATTATCATGGCCCTGGCTGACTAACACATAGAGCACATGACAGGAGCTGAGAGTGAAATGTTGAGTGGACATGGCTGACCTGAGAAGCCAGAAGAAAGTATAGTGGGGTCTGAGCAGACAGCAGGTGGAAAAGGCCTCTGAGAACAAGGTGGGCTACATAGTAAGCTCAAGACCAGCCTGGACTACATAGTGAGACTCTGTCTCCCCCTGACCAAAAAAAAAAAAAAAGACGGAGGGAACCAGCCCTCCAAAGCAGAGCTCATAGGCGTCTGCTGTGAGCCAGGCTCTGAGCCGTCCTGGGAATGTGGGGAAGTTACTTAATCTCTGCATCTGAGGCCTGGGGACAACTGCGACCAAAGCACCTGCCCACAGGATCCTGACTCTGGTGTCCGTTTCTCAGCCTGCATGTGCTAAATAGAACTTGAGGCCTCACTCATTGATTCATGTTACTTTGAAATCCCAGCGCCAATGGGGTTTTGTGCTTCCGGGGACAGGCACCCTCCTAGGCCACTCCTGGGCACCCTGGCAGCTGGGTGGTGCTGGGAGCACAGTGGGGAGCACACATTCACACTGTGTATCTGGGGACCCTAGGTTGAAAGCCCAGCTGTGCCATCAGCAGCTGGATGGGTCACTGCACAGCCTCCCCGGCTCACCCCTTCTGTAAATGGTGTGTGTAGGTGGGCATTCTAATGGCATTCACTGTGCTGAGGCTTAGCGGAGATGACCAGCATGTCGATTGCAACACTGATCTCCTGCACGATAGCCTGGGTCTGACCTGCCCTCATGGTGATCGCACTGAAAATGTGCGAGCTGGTGGGATGTGCCACTCTGGGTAACTCCTACCCTGGCGCCCCATCTTTCATCTTTTGCAGCTCCTTCTGCCCCCAACTTCTCCGGTGCCTCCCCCCGCGGCCTGAGTGGAGAATCTGTGCCCACCCTCTTCTATGTCTAGGTTTGCACTGCCCTCTGGTGGTACTTGTGGGAACAGCGTGTTCACTAAGGCTGGAGGTTGGTGACCTTCCATTGACATTGGCGGGGCGGACGGTCCTCTACCTGCATCTTTGCAGCGCTGTTGGGAAAAGGGTAGTATGTGGGCCCCCTCCCCCGACCCAGTTTAGCTTGCAGCTCTTGGGGCTTAGCAAACAGACACTTTTCACCCGTGTCCCTGGCTCTACAGCCATCAAATAACACCGTCCTCCAAGGCTCAAGTTTCTGTCTACTGCAGGCGCCTTTTCTTCTGCCAAGACGGAGGAGTGTGGTAGTGCTTATCTAATATCCTCCCCCTCTGCTGCCTGGTTTCCTCTCATTCTGACGGTGGTCCTGGCTGCTCCCAAGGGTGGGAGGCAGGGAAAACAAGAGCGGCCCTCAACCAGGTCCACGGTTGCCCACTGCTGCCTCGGTGCCTGACTTCTTGCTCCAGAGCCACTTTCCTGCTGGCCGCTGGACATGAAGTCCTGTGGGGCCAAGAGGTGGAGTGGAGGCTCCAGGCCAGCCTGTCATCGTCTGACCCGGCTGTGGAACCCGTTGGAAGCATCCGCCATTTACAACTGAATCGAATCACATGACATTGCTGAAATGTAAGTGTAATTAGCCTGCCAAACAGGCGTTGCATACGGTATGACGTGACACTGCGCATCTGAGCTCTGTTCTATGCTAGCAGTGATCTGGAGTCCGGGTTTTCTGGGCCCGTTCAGACCAGGACTCTGGACCCTGGATCCTGGACTGAAGAGCAGCAGGGAGGGTCTTAAAGCCAGAGAGAAGGTCAAGTTTGTCTTAAGGGGCTGAAGTGGACCCCACTCCCTGTGTCAAGTGCCCCTGTCCCTGGGTTCTCCAGTGACCTCTTGGCTGGGCTTGGGTGGGGTGTGCAGTGGGGGCTGGCAAGGGCACCCTGGAAAAGCCCTCCTAGCTGGACGGTGTACATCCTCCTGGATAGCCAATGGTGACTGGATAAGAGGGAAGGGTTTTCTGGGGGCTCTAGGGGGCCTCGTGTTTCTGGACTACCCAGCAGCCCCACGCCATCTCTGCTACAAATCCTGGTGGTGTGGGCTGTGTGGGAGGCCAGGCCGAGTAAAAGCAGCTCTGAGGCCAAGGACCCCTTAGGTGGCTCCTGAGTCACAGGGACAGCAGCTACCCGTGCCCATACAGCAGGTATGTACCTGGGGGCTGACGGCAAAATGGCCCAGGAGGTTTCAAGCTGCAGAAGGTTTATAATCTCACCAAGGAGGAGCGTTTCCCTTCTGGGATCCACCAGCCTGCCTCACAATCACGGAACCAACAGAGAGGCCTGGATTCCTTGGAGCCTGGTGGTGCAGTTAGGGACTTGGCATCTTTCCTCCCAGGAAGGTACAAACAGGAGGGAGGGGCTTGGCTCAGACCGTTTTATCCATCTGTCCATCACCCATTCATCTACCCACCCACCCATCTATCCATCCATTCATCCATCCACCCATCCATCTATCCTTTCATCCATCTATCCATCCATCTACCCATCCATCCATCCACCCATTCACTCACCCACCCACCCATCCATCCATTCATCCACCCATCCATTCACCCACCCATCTATCCATCCATTCATCCATCCACCCATTCATCCATCCTTTCATCCATCTATCCATCCATCCACCCACCCATCCATCCATCCATTCACTCACCCACTCACCCATCCATCCATTCATCCACCCATCCATTCACCCACCCATCCATCCATCCATTCACTCACCCAACCATCCATCCATCCATTCACTCACCCACCCACCCATCCATTCATCCATCCATCCATTCACCCATCCATCCATCCATCCATCCATCCATCCATCCATCCATCCATCCATTCATCCACCCACCCACCCATCCATCCATCCATCCATCCACCCATCCACCCATCCATCCATCCATTCATCCACCCATCCATCCATCTACCCATCCATCCATCCACCCATCCACCCATCCATCCATCCATCCATCCACCCATCCATCCATCATCCATCCATCCACCCATCCATTCCTCCACCCATCCTCCCATCCATTAAGCCAATGGTGACTGGGTGTCTACATGTGCTGGCACTGTGCTAGGTGCTTGGCATGTAGCGAACAAAACAGACAAATATCTCTCTCCTTGTTACTACAGCAGCTTGGGTGAAACCATTAATAATGATGCTGCTTTCCAATTAAAAAGCTACTACCAAGCCGGATGTGGTGGCACACACCTGTAATCCCAGCACTCAGGAGACTGAGGTAAGAGTATTGTTGCAAGTTCGAGACTAGCCTGGGCTACAAACTGAGCTCAAGGCCAGCCTGAACTGCATAGCAAGACCCTGTCTCAAAAAGACAAAAAAAAAAAAAAAAAGCTGTTATCTTTTCTACCATGGCATGATTCAACAGGTAAAATGTACGTGTGTGTTTTAAAACTTTAATAAACTGCCAGGCATGGTGGAGCATGCCTGTAATCCCAGCACCTGGGAGGCTGAAGCAGGAGGATCACTGTGAGTTTGAGACCAGCTTGGGCTACAAAGTGAGCTCAAGGCCAGCCTGAACTGTGTAGAGAGACCCTGTGTCAAAAAAGACAAAACCAAAACAAAACAAAACAAAAACTTTAATAAACAGAAGTGCCCAAGACAAAATGTGAGATTTATAGGAAGCCCAATCCAAAATTGCACATTATAGTTTGATTCTACGCATGTTCAACTACATGCACATTAAAAAGTTACGGAGAAGAGATAGCTATTAAGCAGAAGTGGCAGTTTGGCAGATGGTATGGCCACAAGATCTCCCAGTCCCTATGCAATTCGTACCCTATGACCTTGGTTCTGCCAGTGAGAGGTAGATTCCTCTCCCCGAGTCTGTGGGGGTAATATAGCTCTGCCTGGTCTCTCTGGGGTCCTTGTATCAGGAATGCAGACACATGCCAGGAGGAAGCACATGGAAAAACCATATTATAAGATGTGGCAAAGCCCCAGCGGAGATCCCAGCAGACAGCCAACACCCATTACCAGACTTGTGAACCAGGAAGGCCTAGCCACTTTCTATCTGCAGCACAGAGACTCCAAGTGCGAACAGCCTCACCTGGCAAGCCAATCCCAGAATCCAGGGACCACAATGATCACTGTTGTTAAAGCAACAGAATTTGGGGGGTGGTTCGTTATTCAGCAACAGCTATCCAGAAAAGGTGGTTAATCTCTGGATTGTGGGGTCATGAATTTTTAACGATACTCATATATTTTTAAGATTTCCACCACGACCATGTATTTCTTTTCTAATCAGTTAAAAAAAGTTATCAAAACCAAAAACGCATTCTAATATCCCCTACCTCCTCAAGGGAGAAATTAGGTCTAAATATAAATGTAGGAACTAAGCTTGGCTTGGAAAAAAGCTTCCTACCCAAGATTTATCAGGTACTGGGAAGGATTAGGAAGATGAATTTCAGTTGATAAGCGGGGAAGAGGGGTAGATTTGGAAGGAGAAATCTTGGAAACAAATCTCAGTTTTTCTGGGTGACCTTGAGGAAGCCCTTGCTCAAAGCCGGTTTTCCATTTTGAAAACTGCAGCTGGCTGCGGAAGGAAGAGACCCGTGAAGGAAGGGCGCATCTTTCACTGCCCCAGAGGTACAGTTCTAATAAGAAAAATGGCCCCTGAAAAGAACCATAAGCTGTTCAAAACAAAACAAAACAAAACAAACAACAAAACACCACTAAGCGGACTTTGTGGGGGTTTTGCCTAAAATGCCCGGCCCTTTCCTTTCTGAGGCCAGGCAGCTGGGGAAGCAGCGACGGAGGAGCACGAGAGTCTCGAGGTATCCTGGCAACGCGGTATCCAGGCAACGCAGTGCCCTGGCAATGCAGTGTCTCGGCAATCTGCAAAGCACACACCGGCGCCCAAGCCGCTTAGTCCTGGGCGCCTCCACCAGTCCTCCGCAGTTCAGTTGCAGTTGGTGGGTTGATCTGGCCCTTTCTAGGTGCAGACCTCGGACGCAGCTCCAGGTTTCCCTGGAAGGGCGTGGAGAAGGACCCCTGCTTGCAGAGACAGGGGTTCCAGACCCAGAACTGCCTGCTGGGAGGAAGATATCTCTGACTTGGAGCCTAAGCCGGCTCTCTCAACTTTCGATGGCTTGTGGAGTATGTTTGTTGTGACTGATGACTTTTCTTTCTCTTCCTTCCCTTCCTTCCTATTGAACCCAGGGCCTTTATACTGAACTACATCCCCAGCCCTTTATTATTTTTTTCAATCCGAAAGAGGGTCTCCCTGAATTGCTCAGGCTGGGTTCACGCTTCTAAACTTCCTGTCTCAGCCTCTTTTCTTACAAAGGTCTTTTCTTGGTCTCTGGGCTTCTTTTCATATTTAAAATCAAACCCTGTGCCTTCCTGAGTTCATGGACTCTGGAAATGCTCCTCAGGGTTCCTGGCTTCCCTCCATCTCAAGAGCAGCCTGTGGCAGACAGCTGGAGAAGATTCGAGAGGAAGGTGACGTCCGTGTGACCAAGGCGGAGAGGAGATACAGTTGAGTTCTAAGGAATCGGGAGGGCCGGGGATGAATCCCATACTGTATCCAAGTATACTCGATCCAGGAGGCCTTGTTTGAAGGCTGGCGTGTTAGTCATCTTCCTGCAATTATAACAGCTGCCTGAGACAACTGACTTATTAAAGAGAAAGGCTTCCTTAGGTCTTTGGGCGTGTGGCACACGTCAGAGTGAAGCAGGTGGCAGAGTGAAACCTCTCACCTCATGGCTGGAGGTGGAAAGCAGAAAAGGCTACACCCCCAACCAGGTCCCAGCTGTTTAAAGGTGCCAGAAGTTTCCAGTAGTGCCACAGATGGGGGACAAGCATTTAACACCTGGGGCATGTGGGATACTCCCTCTTGTAAGTGTAGCAGCTAGTTTAGGGCACATAGCAAGAACTGTTTGGCTGAGAGCTTCTGTCTGTATGCGTCCAAGATCTGATCAGGCAGAGAGCACTGTCCAAGCAGAGATTCTCATGAAGTCCCTCCCTGTGGCTCCTAATAGCCTGGAGATCACAGAGGAGTAGAGGGGAGCCGGGGATACAGCTCAGTGGCACAGTGCCTGCCTGGCAAGCACAGGGTCCTGAGTTTGATTTCCGGTACCAAAGAAGAAAATCTAAGAAAAAAAAAAAAGTGCTGCTTTCACAGATGAGTAGAGGGAGCCAGGGGTTTGACCCACCCAGTTCTTTGGTTGCTAAATGGTGAGGCTGGGCTTTGACCCAAGGCTCCTGGTTTCCAGAGCCCGTGCCCTTCCACTGTCCCCTTAGCGCAGATCTTTGTAGATTTGTGGCACTGCATATTGGTTGGGACAGAGCAGGTAGAGGGGATGAACACTCCAAGGAAAGGCTATGTGGAATCATGGCTGGCGGCTCCAGCATTGGTTCTCTAAGCTGAGGAGGATGTATGGGGCACGTTTGCCTTTAGAGCCCAGTGTCACGGAGCAGGGCAGTCACAGTGTCCCAGAAAACCTCAGACCGAAGGCATGGTCAGGATGTCACTCACCTCGTATAGGAAAGTGCTCTGCAAGCAGCAAAAAAGTGTTGGAGAATGTCCTATCTTTGCCCTATCGGATTTTAGCCTGGTGCCTGCTCTCCTAGATCCCAGATCTGTGATGCTGTGGTTCTCCTTCTCAGTGCAGTGACAGTGCGGAGGTACAACTCCCACACCCAGCTGCGAGTGGGGCCCAGAGGAACTGGAGGATATAGCGCCTTTAATTTCCCAGTGTGGCCTAGACAGGAAGAAGAAAAGGATTCTGGGATTCTAAGCTCAAGCTCTAGAACTCCCTGCAGTTTCCAGTTTGGCTGGGGGCGTAGGAGGGGCTGCTGTTTTAAGGGTGAGCTAGGGAGGCTCTGTACCTCTGAGTTAAGGGTGCCGGAAGGCCACAGGCCTTGGATCACCAGGCCTGTAGTTTCCTTTTCTGCTCTGAGACTGTGACTATCCCAGGAGAATGTCTGAATTCAGCTTCACATGGAGGGCATGGGGTGAGGAGGAAAGTTTCCCATAAATCAGTTGAAGACAGCCAGGTGTGGTGGCGCACGCCTGTAATCCCGGTACTTGGAGGCTGAGGCTGAAGGATTGCTGTGAGTTCAAGGCCAGCCTGAACTGCAGAGTGAGACCCTGTCTCAAAAACAACAACAACAACAACAAAATCAGTTGAAGACATACGCGTGTGCTTGTGCGTGTTGGTTGTCTGAGAGCTGTAGCTAGCTCTGCTGAGTGGATTGCAGGCATGAAAACCACAGGTTTGTCATGGCCAGATGTTTTACTTTTCTTTGTTCCAGGCAGACTGTTGTGAAGTCCATGAGATGACAAGTGTGCTTATGAAAGTGTTCCTCCTGCCCAAAGAAATGGCAGCCATGATCTTGAGTTCCATAGATATTACAACAGTAAACTGCATTTTATAAATTATACTCCATAGCTCTATAACTCTGAATGAGTTATTTGACATCTCCAGAACTAAGTTCATTCCTCTGTACAGTTATTTCTATTATATTTGTAATTATAGTCTCCTTTTCATTTCTCATACTTTTTTTTTTTTTTTTTCCTTTTTGAGACAAGGTCTTTCTCTGTAATTCAGGCTGGTTTTGAATTCACTATGTAGCCCAGGCTGGCCTCAAACTCACAGCCACCTTCCTGCCTCAGCCTCCCAGAGTGCTGGGATTATAGGTGTACACCATCATACCCAGTCTTCTAGTACTATTTGCCTGTGTTTTAAATTTTTTCTTGACTTTTACTTATTTACATTATTAGTTCTTTAATGAAGCTATAGTTCTGATAATCTTATTTTACTCATTTATGCTTTTATTTTGTGATTCCCTCCCTTATTTTATTTTATTTTATTTCATTTTTTTGTTTTTCTGAGACAGGGTCTTGCTATGCAGTTCAGGCTGGCCTTGAGCTCACTTTGTAGCCCAGGCTGGTCTCGAACTCGAAACAATCCTCCTGCCTCAGCCTCCCAAGTGCTGGGATTACAGGCGTGCACCACCACGCCCTTTGAACAATTTACTTTGAGTCTATCTTTTTTTTTTTTTTACATAAATGGTGTGATTTAAGTCCCTAAGTCTAAAAGAATACTTCAATTAGTATACAAAATTCTAACTGATAAGGCACTCTGTCTTGAATTGGCAACTTTTATTCTTTGTAGTAGCTAAGATAATATTAAAATCAATGATGTCCTACAGTCTGAAATACAGTGCATGCATCTGAGATTCCAGCTTTCTAATTATTGCTGTGTTGAATCCTACAGGTTCTCATGTATAGTACTTATGTCCATTGATCATTAAGCACCTCATGATTACCATTACAATTTTTTCCTCTATATGAATTATTTAGCAGGGTGGTTTGAGTTTCTAAAGCTTATGGATGGTCTTGGCTGTCTTTTTATTATTGATTTATAATTGTATTGCATTGTGGTGAGAGAGCATGATTCATATTATATTTATTGATGTTTCTTCTATGGCTTGGTAAGTAGGTGGCTGCTCCTCTGGCTGCTAGGGATGGCCTCCTCCTGCCAGCTCTATTCTTTTCCTCCCTCTCTGCTGGGCTTGGCTATGACCCAGTGACTCAACCTTGAGCAGGCACTGGGCCTTACTGTGCCTGGGGCTGCCCTGGGGTCTAGGGAATGTTCCAGAACATTCCAGAACTTTCTTCCTGAGGTGCATCTTAAACATACTGCACTCTGGGGTTTCTCCTGTAGGTCTTGGTCAGAGCTCTGGAACCTGCATGTGATTTTCATGACCTGGAAAATCTGGGGAAAATGCTGGGCAGTGGGTTGAGATGGAATTTGGTGCAGTGAAGGACCTGGCCTTGTGGCAGAGGGGGCTTACAGCCAAACTGGAGCCCAAGAGTGACCGGGAGGGAGCTTATTGGAAAGGCAGTTTCCCAGGACTCACTTAGCAAGCTTCTAAATCAGTAGGACTGCAGTGGGCTTTGGAAGTCTATATTTTTAACAGGCTTGAGATAGTTCTTATACCACAATCTGAGAAATGGCAGAATGGGGGATTTTGAAGGTAGGAAACAGCTTAGATGGTTTTTAAAGTTGAATTCATAGGGGAAGTCTTCTTAAGTATAGAGAGTTTGGTGGTGGGGGGCATTTGACAAGCGTGGGTGTGATTCATTTGCAATACAAGTTTGAGAAGAAACGAATACAAATGGCATCAGTTGCAGTTCTCCTGCTGGTTGGTGGGAATTTGCAGAGGGTACACAGCTTATGCTATCTCATGTGATGTGGGGCCTTTGGGGGTGACAGGGTTTTATTTAGAGAGCCAGGGACGCCTTGTGACTTCCCTATAACTGGAGCTTACGCTGAGTCTGGGAGCTTCTGAGAGTACAAAGTTGTATAAAGAAAGGCAGTATTTATTCACCTTCTTTCTTTGCACACATAATTGGACAAGGCACACATCCATATAAAATGAAAAGAGAACAGATTGACTTTGATAAGCTATAAATTATACAGAAAAATAAAAATATTGAGTACCCCTCCCTGTCTGACAATCACTGGGTTTCAGGATTCTTCTGTGATTGGGGGTGGTCAGGGAGTTATTCTTTTTTTATTCATTCAAATGTTTATTAAGATCAGTACTCAATGCCAGGCAATACTTTTTTTTTTTTTTTTGTCTTTTTGGGACAGGATCTCGCTGTGCAGTTCAGGCTGGCCTTGAACTCACTTTGTAGCCCAGGCTGGCCTCGAACTCTCAAGGATCCTGGTGCCTCAGCCTCCTGAGTGCTGGAATTACAGGCGTGCACCACCATGCCAGGCTCACATCAAAAGTTTTGCCTTACGCCAGGCATGGTGGCACACGCCTGTAATCCCAGCACTTGGGGAGACTGAGGCAGGAGGATCTCTGTGAGTTCAAGGCCAGCTTGGGCTATACATAGCAAGTTCAAGGTCAGACCCTGTCTCAAACGAAAACAAAAGCAAAACTTTTGATGCTACTGAGATGAGTGTGATGGAGTCTGGTGGGAAGGGTGGGGTGTGTAGTCGATGAGTCTGGTGGGAAGAGACCCACACATTTCTGAAGGGCAGTCCTTTGCTTGTCGCCACCAGCTATGTTCACTGTCCTTCCCAGGCCCCACGCTTTGGAAAGTTGTCCTGATGGTTCAATACAGCCCACTGTTGCAGACAGCTGGGTTCAGGTCCTTTCTCTTCCGGTCAGTGGAAGGGACGAACAGTGTAGGGATGAGCAGTCTGCACCGTGGTTAGAATTTTAGACTTTCGGGTCACAAGAAAGGTGATCAAACCTGGTCCTAGATGTTTATTTTCTATGTATCACAGGCAAATTGCATAACCTGAGCCTGTTTCCTCCCCTTAGGATGAGGAGATGAATAACTCCTGTGTCTATGGTCCTTAGGAAGATAAAATGGACTATGGCATGTACTTGGTTAATGTCGTCCCCAGCACACAGCAAATGCCCAATATTGTGAGGTGTTTTTCTTAAATAAGTGATTTATAATCTAGGGATCAAGAGAGAGTGGAAGGTACTTGAAAAATGTGGTGATATCGATGTGTTACAGGTGGTACCCGCGATGATCTCCCAGAGTCCAAGGGACGCTCTGTGAACGCGACGTACCCCAGCAGGGGCGCCAGCCCCTCACCTTCTGCAGGGACAGGTTGGACAGGCAGTGAGCCTCCAGGCCTCCTCGGAGCATGTGCTCAGCTGGCGTAAGTGAGGGCTGGTGAGGAGCCATTGCTGTTGGTGTAAACTGTGCCCAAGAGACCCCTAGCCCAGGAGGTAGCACAGCCTGGTCAGCAAGGCATGGAATCTGGAGTCTGATGCCTGGGTTCAAATCCCAGCTCTGCCACTTTATTTGCATTTCCTTAACAGTAAAGCGCTTTGAAGCTGGGTGTGGTGTAAT